GAAAGAAAGAAAGAAAGAAAGAAAGAAAGAAAGAAAGAAAGAAAGAAAGAAGAGGAAGGAAGGAAGGAAGGAAGGAAGGAAAGAAGGAAGGAGAGAGAGAGAGAAAAAAAGAAGGAAGGAAGGAAGGAAGGGGAAAAAAGAAAAGTAAGTCCAAGCAAATAGTCCACTGTGCTCATTCCTTCATGCCATGGGTATAAATCACTCAAGAGACTCTTGGACACTATAGTTGCCTCATGAAGTGTCCCCCACCTCCAGGATTAAGTCTCCTGAAAGACATTCTTCCCTAAATAAAATCCTCACATAACAAGAAGCATGGCTCTTGTTTTCCTCCAACCTGCCATTTTCTAAACACAGAATCCAATTCTCCCATTACCAGAAGGCAACTGACAGGCTTCTGCATTCTAGGGGACCTTTTTTTCTGCCCGCTTGGCCACTGAAACTTAGTGGAGACTACATTTAGCTCGTGCTTGGGAGTTTTAAAAAACCACTACATCAATAACGCACACAAAAAAAAAAAAATATTCTGAAAGAGTAGCTTCCAGGGGGCTGGAGAGATGGCTCAAAGGTTAAGAGCGTTGGTCGTTCTTCCAGAGTCCATATGGTGGCTCACAACTGTCCGTAGCTTCAGTCTCAGGGCATCTGATACCCTTTTCTGGCCTACATGGGCACTGTCCACACGTACACAGACATGCACATTTATTTATGGATAGCCCTGGCTGTTCTGGAACTCACTCTGTAGAGCAGGCTGGCCTCAAACTCACAGAGATCCGCTTGCCTCTGCCTCCTGGGTTCCGGCGTTAAAGGTGTGCACCACCACTGTCCAGCAACAGTAGTACACTTAAAATGTAGTAAAAAATCTCTTTTAAGAATAATGAAAGGCTGTTAGTAGTCCGAACTGAAAATCCTATTAGGCCCAGCTAGCGCCACTGAGTTTGAATCTTAGTAATGTGTGTGCACAAGTGTTTCCGTGTAGCATCGGCCTCCTTCCATGGGCAGGCAAGGGGTCCATTTAACTTCCCTTCTGTCCTCTAAGCATGTGAGAGGAGAGGCTTGCTTCTGTGTCCTAGATTTCCCACTGAAAATGTTTCTGTTACAGTTTCTGATTCCAAACTCTATTTCCATTTTCCTTGGCAAATTGTCTTACTAGATGACCTTAATTCCTATCTAGTAACCTAAATACAAGTTTTTGCTATAACAAGGTTTTTTGTTTGGTTTGAGACAGGGTCTTACTATATAACCTTGGCTGGCCTGGAGTTTGTGTGTAGATCCACCTGCCTCTGCCTCCCAAATGCTGGGATTAAAGGTGTGTGCCACCATGCTCAGGAAAAGATTTTTCATTGTGTATGTGTAGGGGTCATGCCCATGAGTGGAACGGGAGGTTGGAGGCCAGAAAAGGGGGTCTCGTTCCCTGGAGGTGGAGGTGCAGGAGGTTATGAGCCTCCTGATATGGGTGCTAAGATGGGATTTAGGTTCTCTCTGAAAACAGTATATACTCTTGACCCAAGCCATCTCTCCAGCTCTTTGCTACAACAAACTTTTAGGATGCCAAGCAAAGGATACATGTAACTAGTAACTGCCCCAGGTCCACTTGTCTGTGGTTTCTGCATCAATATTAATAGCTATCTGTGGTGACTGTGGTGCTGGTTCTTTTTCTAGCATCTGTCTAAATAATTCTGGGCTCCACGGCACTGCACAACGATTGTTTCAAGTTCTGTAGCCCATTTAAGTGTCACACTTAAGTGCCTTAAAAATCACGAGAATTTGTGTTTTTAAAAGCTCTCCTTATGTGGAATGAGGCTTGTAGCAGGAACTTTAGCCAACACAGCATCCAAGTGCAAGACCAACTCATCCAAAAGTCTACAGTGCACAAAGTTCACGCAAAGGGGACTGGGCTTGAACTCAGGAAACAAGAAACATTAGTGAGAAGCGCTGGTGTTCCCGGCTCGCCGGAGCTTGAAGAGAGAGCTGCATTACAGAGTGGAGCTTCTTGCTATGTGGAGATCTTGTCTATGGAGGAGTGTCACTTAGGGATTCGATTCCAAAGCTGACAAGTTAGCATTTCAGTACTAAGAGCAAAGCAGAAGATCAAGATGCCACAGCGGAACCTGATGTGTCTATGAGACTTTGCTGAGAACAATTGGAAATTTGCCAAGAGGGACTGTGCCAATTATGAAGATGAAAATAGAAATAAAAAAACCAATTAAAGCAAAGATGTTTTGAGCCACAAGATTAAAACTGAAGACTTAAAATAACTCTGGAGTGCCCATGAGCACAGTTTAATTCAGAACATAATATAATCTGGAACTCATCTTGATGGTTTCTGTAGTTGTTAATACTCTCATGTTGACTTGTAAAGAGATGCAGTTTTGGAAACATGCTGCTCTTGAGACAGATGTGCTGTGAATGACATCCTTTTTCTAGTGGCATTCTTTGGTTTTAAATTTTTATTTTTGTGTATATGAGTGCTTGTCTGCATGAATGTCTATGTACCATGTGGGTGCCTGGAGTCACAGACAGTTGTGAGCTACCATGTGTGTTCTGGAATTCACATCTAGGTCATTTGAGAAAGCAGTGCTTAAGCAATGCTCTTAACCACTGAGCCATCTCTTCAACCAGCCCCTTTAATGACACTCTTCAAGGTGGAAATTTAGCCCTTCATCTTTAAATGTATGTACACATAGAGCTGCTTCCTGAAGACTTTGACTTTTGTATACACACACACACACACAGAGGGAGAAAGCGCATTCCCACTTACTGACCTGGAGTAAATTGCTATAAATTAGTGCTATTTTTAAAAATGCCATTATAGTAATATTTTACTTTATTAATCCAGTAAAAACTCAGAAAATATAGCTTATCAAGAACAAACTTTCTCCAGCCTGAAGTTTTGCAAGCTGTCAGTTTATAGTAGATATGTTCTGTTTGTTTGTTTGTTTGTTTGTTTATATAGGGAGCTGACTGGGTTACTTTTTGATGTTCTATCAAAAAAAAAAAGTTTTCTGTTAATGCCCACTGGCTTGCAATGGAAGGCTTAGCAAGTAGACATATACAAGTACGACACATATTAAAAAGATTAAGTAACACACTGAAAAATTACTTGTATATCTAAAAATCCAAATTTTGTTGGTCATCTTATATTTAATACACTCTTGAAAGTCTCTTCCTAGGGGGCTGGAGGAATGACTCAGTGGTTAAGAATACTGGCTGCTCTTCCAGAGGACCAGGTTTTAATTCCCCAGAACCCACACAGCAGCTCACAACTGTCTGTAAGTCCTGTCTCAGGGGATCCGACTCCCTCACACATGCATACATGCTGGCAAAACACCAATGCACATAAAATTAAAAAAAAAAATTAAGGTTCCCATCTGTTATCTACAAGTAATGAAGAAACAACTTCCCCTACGCATAAAACCAGACATTTTCTATAATAAGGCAAGCGAAGAAACATATTCTACACAAATTCAATTACTAAATGGTCACAGAATCTTGAAGCGCCACTGTGGGCATGGAGCAGAAAGGCCACTTTTCAAGTAATTCAGATATCAACAGGGGTTTGGCCAAATTTTGGAGGGTTTTTTTTTTGGGGGGGGGGGTGTGGATATCTCCTGGTTTTATAAGACTGAGTATATTCTTGAGTATAACAATAAGATGTATGTTCCCTATAAGTGGAAAATGGGCTTCATAGGACACAAGGATAAATTCCTCACACATTCAAGAAGAGTGCGATACAGCTGGGATGGTCACATTCCTGTCATCTCAACTAAACGGGGTACCAAGACTGAAAGTTCAAAGGCAGCCAGAGAAATTTTGTGAGATCCTGTCTCTAAATAGAAAGTAGAACAGTCTAGGAATATAATTCAAGTGCTGATATGCGACCCCCAAAAGGGTCGAGGCCAACGGGATGAGACCACTGTGCTAGAGTTTTTGCCCGGCAGGTATAATGCCCCAGGTCCAATTCTGGGAGGACAGTGGGGTATGACCACAAAAAAAGAAAGGAAGGGGAAAAGAGAGAGAGGAAGGAAGGAAGGAAGGAAGGAAGGAAGGAAGGAAGGAAGGAAGAGAGAAAGAGAGAGAGAGAGGAAGGGAGGGAGGGTGAATGGGCTGATGGACAAGACAGGACAACATTTTGTTTGCTCTTCTAATTGATTCTGGCCTTGTTGCTGGTGTTCAAGCTACCCAAACTGTGATCCTGATTGAAAACACAATAAGTACTTAGTTTATAATGATGCTTTATACATAGCTATACACATATGTACAAACAATTCAGAAGGCTAGAGAAGTTAACTCCAAATTTAGGAGTCTTGGAGGTACTACAAATTATACTGGGCTCCAACCAGTGATTAAAGTTGAGGTAACAGCATTTGGACTTGGCCTTAATACTCTCCCCTTCCCCTGTGCAATGTTAAGGCCAAGAGTCAAAGCTTCGCATTCCGTAATTAATAGTGGTAAAATAAAGCACTCCTGGATTAAATTAAATAAGACAAGAGCAGGACACGATAAGAAAGAAACCTCTAGGATTCTACTATTCCCAGGTTTTTTGCAATGGTACAACTGGTGTCGATCCCAGGGTCGTCTGTCATTGTGTCAGACTTTGATAGAAAAGGATGACCCACAGGAACAGCCTTGCTGGGCTTGAGGGTTATTCAACACTTGAAATGAGCTTCGGATAAGTTCTTGGCTGAAGTCCACCTGGGCCCCCTTCACGAAGGCCAAGCTATCAGAATCAACCACCACTCTTGCCCCGCCCTGTTCAAATACCCTGAAATGACAAGAGGAAATCATTAATGACGAATATTGCAGACACCAAGAACACAACACCATGAGGCCATAGGGGTACACCCTGTTCTCCAATATACGAAATATCGCTTAGGACCTCTAGCAGATGCTAACTTTATCTGAAGGAAAAAGAGTCAACGTAATGAATAGAAGAAATATTGAGGGACTTGGTCTGAAACTAGTCCAGCCTTTCTCAGCTTACTAGCCAAGGGACCTTAAGTAAGCCAGTTTTCTTCCTTATTTTGAAACAGGAGACCAAATCTTTGCTGTGCCCTCACAGTATGGGTGTTAAGCACACTCAGAGGCTTCTAAGTTTTGAATAATAGCGCGTCATAAAATGGGGTCACTTTTATCCCTCTGATACAGCCTCTAGCGACCCATCCGTTCCTTCTTGCCTGTCGTCGGGGTTAATAACTGTATCCAGTGAAAATTTGTATTGGAATCCGGAGCATCCGCCTCCCTCCACTTGCAGCCTGAGGAATTCTGACCCTTCGGTGATTTCCAGAAGCCTCTGAAATGTAGGAAAGAGGATCAAAAACGCCACGCAAGAAGAGATAACGGGGTGGATAAAAGGGAACTCTTCTAAGATTCTCTCCTGGGCCCCGCCGTCCCGGGTCGGGCCTCCTACCTGGACGCAGCTGTCTGTGAGTTGGATCTGTCCCTCGCCAGCATCTGGAATGGAGGACGTCGCTTCCCAGCGAGTCAAAAGCCCGGGAGAGGCCGCGGCGAGCCTGCGATGTGGAGGAGAAGGATGAGTCCGGGGAACGGAGGGGCACCCGATGACCCTCTATGGTACCCAAACCTGGAGACGCCTTCATCTGAACTGCCAAACCTTCATCTCCCCGGTGAGCGTCAGTCTCCCATCTGTCCTGAAGGCGCAGAACCTAACACCCTTCCTAAGTGACCTTCCACCCTTGGTACCTGCCCCGGCGCCAGGGAATGACCGCCCGGAACGCCGCGGCAGTTAGGGACAGGGTTTTGGCGGCCGCCATCTTGCTCCGTAAGCTCCGCCCCTAGCATTGTCCAAATTCCCGCCTTACCCCGGGCTTCGGGAGGCAGGGAGCGGAGCGGGGCGGGGTTTCACCGAAGCCCCGCCTCTAGACAACGCTTATTGGATAAAACGAGTTAAGTGGGCTTTGATTGGCTGAAACCGCTTCCAATTACCGGAGCAGGGCGGTGCCAACAGAGAGGGACGAAAGCAAAGAAAAGCGGCCTCTGGGCAGGCCCTGCCTGGGAGCCGAAAGGATGGGCGGGGATAAAGAGGAAGCTGCAAGCCCAGCGCCTTGGAGTCCGGGGCGGGGCTCGGGCGGGTCTTCGCTGGTCACTGATCACAAGTGGCCTGACCCGGCTCCTCCCTTGGTCCCCCGAACAAGTTTACCTTGTGACTGCCGCGGCTGCTTTTTCCTTCCTGGACGGCGGAGCCTTCTGACCTGCGATGCGTTTCCTGACCGCCACGATCCTCCTGCTGGCGCTTGTCGCCGCCGCGCAGGCCGAGCCCCTGCACTTCAAGGACTGCGGTGAGCTCTGAACCCTCTCGAGAGATCCGCGGGGCTGCATGGGGCGGGTTCCTGGAACGTGGGGCTCAGCCGCGAACCCCGGGTGGAACGTAGGTTGGGTCTGAAGGTACCAGCCTTGATGAAACTTAACCTCACCGCCACGCAGCTTCGTCTCTCCGTGCAGTCGTGTGCTGGGGTAAATCTCTACACTCTCAAAACGAACCTTTCGCTGAAGTTCTCTAAAGTTTCTTGGGTGGACATCAAGCGGGCATGCTTTCGCAGCACTCGAGGGGGTGGAGACAGGAGGATTACGAACTCAAGGCTAGCCTGGGCAGTATAGTGAGATCTGCCTGAAAAAATAAATAAATAAATAAATAAATAAATAAATAAATAAATAAGTAAGTAAGTAAGTAAGTAAGTAAATAAATAAAAGCAAAACTAAAACAATAGGGTAGACCGCGGGTCTGCATCAACACGGATTGAGTCGATGGACACTTCTTTAGATGCCTTGTATCTTCCTTCACTAGCCATTTCCTCTTTGTTTGGCCCTCCAAATCCGTGTCAATCCTGCCCCGGCCTTACACGTGCCGCCCCCCCAAAAAAACAAAAGTTCTCCTTTTGTAAGTTATTCTTTTACAAAGTAGGGTTTTCTTTGGACTAACGAATTTCGTGATTCTTGACCCTTGTCTCCTATAAAACGCTTATTTTTATTGATACCTTGCGACACCCTCCTTCTTTCCTCCTTCCCAACGCTGCCTCCCAACTCATTGTTGGAAAATGTAAGGGAGGGTAGAAATTCTGAGTTCATCCAGTCAAGCCTGTACAATTAGTTGCGGGAGTGGGAGGGAAGGGGCAGTGAAAAGGTGCAGTCATGGGTGAAAGACACAGTTATTAGGTAGGATTGGAGAGATGGCTCAGCGATCTACTGCTACTCCAGGGGACTAGAGTTCGATTCCCAGCCCTCATGTCGAGTCAGGTGGTTCACGACTGTTTGTACCCACTAACAGTCCAATGCCTCTGGCTTCCTCAGGTGCCACACTCACAGGCGCACACACACAACCCTGAGGAGGTGGGGGTGGGAGGGTAGAGTAAGCCTTCCTAAGGCCGCTCGGCTGAATGAGGAACCAGGCTAAGTAGCTTCTTTGTATCCAGCATCCAGGTAATAGTAACTACTCAGTAAATAAACGGAAAAAGCAAACGAGGGAATTAATACTGTTTCTAATATGTTATTAAAAATTCCTTTAAGGCAAAAGCAAAGGTGGGTGGTGGAACTGGGTTGGTTAGTAAGGACAAGTGCCTATTAATAGTTCCCAGATGCCATTTCAAGAGACTAGCCGGAAGTGGCTGGTTGTTTTTTTTTTTTTTTTTTTAAGTATTGCTTTTCCTTCTGTTAAACTTCTTAGAATGTTACTTTATTTTTAGTATGTGTGTGTTCGTGTGTACCCAAGCGTGTGGCAGGCTGAGTACAGCCCCTCAGGTCATCCTCAAGAACACCATCCGCTTCTTTGGAGATGTGGTCTCTCATTGGCCTGGAGCTTGCCAGTTAGTCTAGATTGGCTAGCCAAGCAGCCCCGATGGTCTTCCGGTCTTCACCTTTCCCAGGGTCAGGATTACACACGTGTCCCACCACAAGTGGCGTTTTTAACGTGGGTTTTGGGAATTGAACTCGGGTTTTCTGCTTGCAATATCCTCAGAGATACCCACCCCCAGTCCTCCCCTGTTAGACTTAGGATCAAGACTTGGGTAAAGCCACTGTATTAATTTTATTAACTTATCCCTCACCATCTGTTTTACAGAAAAAGAAACTAAAGCACATAGACTAACTTGTGTATGATCCTACATCTGGTAAGCAGGAGACTGAGCTACTTTGGATATATATATATAATATATATGTATATAATATACATTATATATATATATATATGCTGAGACAGGATTTCTCTGTTTCCCTGGCTGTCCTGGAACTCACGCTGTAGACCAGGCTGGCCTTGAACTTAGAGATCCACCTGCCTCTGCTTCCCAAGTACTGGGATTAAAGGCATGGTGTCACCACTGCCAGGCTCTTTTTTTTTTTTTTTTTTTTTTTTTTTTAGTTTTTTAAGACAGCGTTTCTCTGTAGCCCTGTCTGTACTGGAACTCCCCCTGAAGACCAGGCTGGCCTCTAGAGATTCCCCCTGGCACTGCTGAGAGAAAAAGTGTGTGGCACCACTGCCCAGCTGGACTTCAATATGTTTTTGTTTGTTTTTGAGACAGCTTTGTAGACCAGCCTAAACTCAAAAAGATCTGCCTGCCTGTTCATTGGGAGTGCTGGGATCAAAGTCCTGCACTACCTGGCTAAAAAAAAATTTAAGGCAGGTTACACCTGTGGGAAGAACTTGTTTTTTGTTTTGTTTTGTTGTTTTTTTCATGTTTCGTTCATTCATTCATTCATTCATGCATGCATATGTATGTAGGAGGGTCCACCCATGCACAGCATACATGTGGAGGTTGGAGGACAGTTTTCAGGAGTCAGCTCTCCCCTTCTTGTCTGGGCATTCCAGGAACTAAACTCAGGTTCTCAGCCTTGGTAGTGACTACCTTTCCTTGCTGAGCCATCTCTCAGGCCTACAGGGGACTTAAAGGAAAGCGGGGAGGGGGGGTGGAGAGGCAGGTGGGGGGGGGAGATAGAGAATGAGGGTGTTCCCATGACATGTTTTGAATTTACAATGTAAAAATTTCAGCACCCAGGTAAAAAGCTCTTGCATTGCATTCTCTGCCCAGCCTCCCCTGGGGTGGGATCTCCTCAAGTGAGAAACGGAACCAAGTAAACTACTTGGGCAATATTTGCAGTGGGAACTGAGGAGTTTGTTCCGTTGACATTTGAAGTCCGAGAACCTCTTGTCAGGGGGCAGAGAAAGAAAAAAAAAAAACTGCACAAAAGAACTGTCAGTACCCTTTCCTTTGAGCCAGTGAGGTCACGTGAGACCCAGCTTCGAAGAGTTTCAACTTCATTTTTCCTGCCCACCAATATAGGATGGTCTAAGACCATATTTTTCACACTTGTAGAGGGTACGGAGAGCATGTGCAAGCAAACTAGGAGATAGCGATCCCAAAGTGTCATTTACAGATCTCGAGCTGCTAACTAATTAATCATTATGATGGTAGAGGGAATTTTCTGTTGTTGTGTTTTGTGACAGGGTTTCTCTGTGTAGCCTTGGCTGTCCTGGAACTCACTTTGTAGACCGGGCTGGCCTCGGATGCACAGAGATCTGCCTCTGCCTCCCTGAGTGCTGGGATTACAGATGTGTGCTACTGTGCCTGGCTTTTATTTGAGACAGGGTTTCTCTGTTTGATTTAGCCTTTGCTGTCCTGGAATTCAGAGACTGCTTCCAGCCTGCGGGCAAGCCCAGGTAGAGAAAGTCAGCTGCTCTCACTATGTCCTTTCCTGTTCTACAGGAACAGTTCTGAGCTAACCTGGTAACTACATAGCAGGCAGTGTAGTCTCAAATTTGCCTACTCTCTTCATTCTGCTTTCAAGACAACAGGAGTCCATACTGTCGGCCGCAAACATCATTTCCGTCCATGAAGTGTAGCTAAGGTGAGAGGCTTCGCTTTGGTGCCAGAGGAGGCCTTGCCTCCCCACCCAGGAGCAGCAGTTTGCTCATGGACTCAGTCCAGAAGTGATAGCGATCATAATGAACAGCTTCAGGGGCACCGCGGTGTTCCAGAGATAAGTTTCCAAATGAGCAGGCTGCTGGCTCACTACCCTCAGGCCAGCTCCAGATGTGAAGTATCATCTTGCCTTAAGGCTGCACAGGAGGAAGTTGAGCTGGTAAGACTTCAGACCCAGGTGACAGGCCTGTGGCTAACCTGCCCTGTCACGGATCGTTGCCAGGCCGTTTGCTCATCCCCTCCCACTCTGCTGTCCAGTGTCAGGGGCTTGAATCACCTTTCTTTATCTGACCGTTGTGTTATAAACATGAGTAGTGCTCACAAGAATATGATTTCTAGCAACTGAGCAGCCCTTAGCCTAGGAATTTTACTGGAGAGGAAAAGAAATCCAGGGTCAAGTGCCCACAACTGGTATGGTTACAGGAATGTGCAGACTGAAAGCCTGGGCCCTGACTACCCCCACAAGCTCGGCGTGGCCATGGTCACAAATGCCAGTTAAAGAGACAAGTAAAGGGGGCTAGAGGTATGGCTCAGTGGTTTAGAGCACTTACTGCTCTTCCAGTGGAAAAACCTTAAAAGTGTTTTTTGAAAAGGGCATGTAATATTTAAAAGACGAGAAAGGGGATTTACTCAGTATGGCGATATTTCAAAGAACATAGAAAGGAACCACCAGTCTGTCTTTAGGTACTGATGAGAGGTTCATTCTTAAATAGAGGAACATGAACAATAAGGTAGTCAGCTCAGGTCTGTCCTACAGGGTGGTCTAACAAGGTGTCAGGACTGGCTGGAATCTCTTCCTGGGAAGCAGCTCTCTTCTGGCCGGCACCAAGGCATCATAGCACACCTTTAAAATACCTTCTCTTTAAAAAGCTTCTCTTCTGTTTCTCTACCAGTTAGGGAAGCTGGTATTGCTTCCGTCTTCTGAGTGAATCAGCCCTGCTTGGGACCAAAGCTTGTCTTTTTATTAATTTGTCTGTTTGTGTGAAATAAGACTCAAACTGTGCTCCTCCTGTCTCAGCTGCCCAAGCGCTACAGGTATTGGCTGACCTGCAGAACCTCGCCCGGTCGGGACCCTGGGTGTTTTTTGGAGCTATAAAGATCTTGACCTCTTCCTTTTCCTCTATTTGGTGCTGGGAAAAGTCAAAGTTTAATGACTTTGTCAAGAGTTAACTTAGAGCCAGGGTACTTTACACACTGTAAATGAGCCTCTCATATTCCGCCCTGGGAGAACATGACTAACAGGAAGACAGAAGTACCGTGAAGTGTCCTCCCACTTGAGAGGGAGCTGTTTCCTTTTCTTAGGGCCATTTCTATAATGAGGGTAGATGGTGGTTCCTCTTAAATTCCATAAACCACTCACTCATAAGTCAGGGGTTTTAGGTACCACTAACTCAAAAAGCTAAGTTTGACTGAGTAACCTGGACCACTAATACAGCTGCTTATTTCTCTAGGAAGCCAGGCAAGGGCAAAGGAAGAAGCCCTGAGAAGACCGAATACTAGGCAGAGGGTTGGCAGGACTGTGGGGAGAAGGACAAAAGATGGGCAGTAAGGATATGCAGCTGGAGCCTTTAAGATAGAAGAGGCCTGGGAGGTGGGGGAGCCCACGGCACCTCCACCAGGTTTAAGTTTAAGCCCCAGGGCCTCCCTGGTTGGAGGAGAGAACTGACTCCAGCAGATAGTCCTCTGCACGTGAAAACACACACACACACAATAAATGTTTTTTTAAATCATTATAGCTCGGCAGTAGTGGCGTAAACCTTTAATCCTAGCATTCAGGAGGCAGAGGCAGGTGGATCTCTGTGAGTTCCAGGACAGCCAGAGCTACGTAAAGAGACCTACCTCAATGAATGAATGAATGAATGAAGAATGAAATTACATTATAAAACAAGGAAGAAAGAAATCTGAAAACGTCTTTGATTGAGTCTAGATCTTTACCTAGAGTCTCAAATAGTCACCAGCCAGACATCCCTAGGGCCTCCTTTGGGAGGAGGAGGCAGGAGGACCCGGAGTTCAAGATTAACTTGCAGAAAGCTAAAGAGAAAATTATGGCGACGTAAGAGCAGAAAGGAGCCCTTACCCAGGAGAGTCCAGCAGCAGTGAGCTGTTTCTGGCCATGTTCCTGCCGAGCTCTAAGCCTGCTGGACTTTAGTCTCTCACCAGAAACCCCTGTGTAACTCTTAGTCACTCCTGGCTTTATCTTATCAGGTTATAATCTTATCCAAGCCAGAGCTACCCTATAATCTCACTTATCAAAAGAGAAAAGGGAAAGGGGCCATCTTAGTTAAAATGAAATTGGGGAGCTACCAAAATGGTGTGTGTGTGTGTTTCTGTCTCTGCCTGTGTAATTCTAAGACATGTCATCCCCACTTTAAAAAACCTGTATCCTTGGGAATGTCCTATTCTTTACTTCTTTCTCTTCCCTGTGCTTAAAATCTATTAAAAATACTTTTTTATTTTTCCAAGACAGGGTTTCTTCTCTTGTTTTTTTTTTTTTTTTTTTTTGTTTTGTTTTGCTTTGTTTTGTTTTGTTTTTTGTTTTTTGTTTTTTTTTGAGACAGGGTTTCTCTCTGTAGCCTTGGCTGTCCAGGATTTGCTTTATAGACCAGGCTGGCCTCAAACTCACAGCAATCTGCCTGCCTCTGCCTACCAGAGTGCTGGATTAAAGGCTTGTGCCACCATTCCCAGCCTAAAAATGTCTGAATAATTACCAACACTTCTTTAAGAAGCCCATGATTGGCTTTCAGGTGTGCTTTTATTATTTTCTTCCTCCCTTCCTTCCTTCCTTCCTTCCTTCCTTCCTTCCTTCCTTCCCTCCTTCCCTCCTTCCCTCCCTCCCTCCTTCCTACCCTCCTTCCTTCCCTCCCTTACTCCCTCCCTCCTTCCCTCCTTCTTCCCTCCTTCCTTTCCTTCCCTCCTTCCCTCCTTCCTTCCCTCCTTCCCTCCTTCCCTCCTTCCCTTCTTCCCTCCTTCCTTCCTCTCTCTTCTGAGACAGGAGGCAGAAAAGAGACCAGAGTCTGAAAAGAGACTGTTTCAGAGCAGCCAGGGGCCAGGGATACTCTCCCATGGGAAAGGGCGCCTGCAAGGAGGGAAGGCTTGGGGATGAGGAGGCCAAATGCAGCTTCAGTGGGCTATGCGCGAGCCTGAAATCTCTACTGTCTGCTCAGTCAAGATGGACTTTCTCGGGAGACAGGCAGTCTTAGCAAAACGTTTCCCTTCTGGGCTTCACGATAATGGTTTTACAACCGAGGCTGTCACCCTGGCCCATCCTCAAACTCACTTTGTCACTGAGCATGACTTTGAACTTAAGACCTTCCCAAGTGCTAGGTTACGGATGGGCACCAGCATATGTGTTTTATGAGAACATGGGGATTGACAAACAAGCATACTACCAACAAACCCAAGCCCTTTACTACTTTGAATAAAATGTCAGCTCTGCTTCAGACTGGCCAAAATTCTGTTCTGCATTGAAGGCACGAATGAACTCCTAAGGCTGAAGTGACTGTGGACTCTGTCTTCATCCTTGCTGCTATGGGCGATCTTTGGCTACATGAGAGTTTGAGGTCAGCCTGGCCTACATGAGACTCCAGTTTCAGCTTCCAGGGGTTAGGGTTTCCAATAACACAATAATTGCTTTCCCTCATCCTTCCTACCGAGGAAACTCCTGACTTGAAATTCCTGGTGCCATTCTTCTTTTTTTCTTTTTAATGTGTATGGATGTTTTGCCTGCATGTAAACATAGGCACAGCATACATGTGTGGTGTTTTTGGAGGCCAGAGGAGGGAGTTGGAGCCCTTGGAACTAAAGTAACATTGTTGTGAGCCACCATGTCAGTGCTAAGGACTGAACCCAGGTCCTCTGGAAGAGCAGACAGTGCTCTGAACCTCTGAGCCATCTCTCCAGCCCAGAGCAGTCTTTTGACTTTCTAACAAATAGCTGCTTAAACCATGCTTGCATGTTGAAGAACTTGGTGGGAGGATGACCTTCTCTTTGGCGTTTTAGGCACCACGTTTCTAGATGGTTTTGTATGTGATGCGATTTTTCCTGTAGTCTCCAACTTTCATCAGATTTACATGTTTATCTCTTTGCTAGAAAATGAATGGGAGAACAGGTATATTTAATTAAAAGGAAGATCTAGAACAATATTCTCAAGGCTTAAATTTAAACTGTAACTCTCCCTTTAAGAATGCAAAACAGAGGTCTACAAGATGGCTCAGTGGGTAGAGACTGAAGATCTAAGTTTGATTCTCAGGACCTGCTTGGTAGAAAAAAAGAATGAACTCTTTTCATTTTTTTTTTCTCTCTCTCTCTCTGTCTGTCTTTTTTTTTTTTTTTTTTTTTTTTAAGGGTTTTTCTGTGTAGTCCTGGCTGTCCCAGAGCTCTGTAGACAGGCCTCATACTCAGAGATCTTCCTGCCTCTGCCTCCCAAGTGCTGGATTAAAGGCATGCTCTGCTGCCGCCACCACCCAGCTTTACTATATTTCTTAATTTGACAAGTATTAGTATTGTCTTGGCCAAGAAATCAGCTAGCTTTTTATTCAATATATAGGACTGACTTTAGCAGTACCAAGATTCTTGCCTCTTGTGCATTAGTGTGTATGTGGTGGGGGGCATGATGTATGTGTGGGTGTAAATGTGTTGAGATCAGAGTACGATCTCGGGGTTCTGCCTTGTTTGATATAGGGGCTTTGCCACTGTGCTGGCTGCACCCTGCAGGCTAGCTGGCTAGAAAGCATGCAGGGTTCTCCTTTCTCTAGCTCCATCTCTCTGGAAGAGCACATGCTACCACATCCGGCTTCCCTTGGGTTCTGGGGATTCGAACTGAGGTCCTCACACTGTGCAACAAGGGCTGGGCCATCTATGCGGCCCCGAATTCTCACTTCTGACCGTGCATTGTCTTAAAGAGTTCATCTCAGGAGAGTAGTCCCAAGAGAAACAGGAACGCTGGAGGGGAGCGCACCTCCGCGCAATGAGCCAGGCATCGTCCTGTTCAAACCCACTTTTGTTGTTTTTCAGGCTCTAAGGTGGGAGTCATAAAGGAGGTGAATGTGAGCCCATGCTCCACACAGCCCTGTGAGCTTCACAAAGGCCAGTCCTACAGTGTCAACGTCACCTTCACGAGCGGTGAGTTCATGTGATCTTTAACCCCCGTTCATGCTGGACCGTAATATAAATGTGAGGCGCTGAAATGAGTATGAGAATGTAGGGGACCGTGGCCGGTGTCAAGGGTTTGTCAGCCTCCTTTCTGACTAGCAGAAAGCTAGAATTCCTGGACCAGACGGAATCTGGCACCATAACTCTCCATCACTTGTCTCGCTCTGAAAGGAAACCTGGAGGACTGGATTGACAAAAGGAAGCACATTCAACTTACAGTTCTGGCTAGAAATAGGGAGGGGAAAATATCCCGGAGTAGTTTCACAGTGTCTAAAAAAGATGACCCAAAAGCTAGGGAATGTGCCCGCTTAGCAGTGAGTCAGAGCTACGTGAGAGCCTCTCCGATGCCAGCGTAGCTGTGTGATGTCTCACAGCAGGACACAGGGCCCCCCCAGGGCCACAACTGTGTCCTCAAACACCCGTCTCACACTGGACTCCTGCTGCCCGGTTCCAGAAGCCTGAGACAGCCTGGGCGTGAAGAAAGGACAGGCACTCACTGGGGTGGTACCTACCAAGAGGCTAGCTAGTCTGGGTAGGAGGTCTCCATAGGGGAGTGGCCTCAGGCAGTAAACACCTGGGAGGGGCAGGCTGCAGTTGCTAGTTACTGTCAGCATTCACACTAACTAGAGGAGGCTTTGGCACTCCCATGGGTCTCAGGCATTGGGTCCTTGACATGACCATGACCATATCAGTACTAACACATTCCTTCAAGGCTTCATCTACTCTTTACACAGTCCCTCAAGGCTTCCTGGCTCCCCACAGGCTACCATATGCCTCACCAGTGACTGACAAATTGTTTAAGCGAACAATGGGATTCCAGCATAATGTTCATTGAAGGCAGACTGTGGGGGGAGAATTGTGAGCCCGAGAGCAGCCTTATATTATATAGTAAATTCCAGGCTAGCCAGGGCTTCATAGAGAGACCTTATCTCAGTGGTCCTCAGCCTTCCCAATGCTGCTACTTTTTTTTTCATAGCCCAATTATCTTTACGTTTTAATTATTTATTTATTCCCCTTGCATCCCACCCTGAGATCCACCCCTTGGGAGAGAGCCAGCCCCTGGCACTGTTAACAATACTCTGCTATGCTCTCAGACAGGAGCCGAGCGTAGCTGTTGTCTCAGAGGCTCCACCCAGAAGCAGATCGAAACAGATTCAGAGACTCACAGTCAAACAGCCGGCAAAGAGTAGGGAGTCTTGTGGGAAAAGGGGTGTGTCGGGGTGGGGGGGGAGGGGAGGATAGAGCTCCACCAGAAGACCAATAGAGCCAACTAACCAGGGCCCAGCAGGGCTTGCAGAGACTGAAGCCCCAACCAAGGACCATACATGGGCTGGACCGAGGCCCCCTACACAGATGGATGGGCAGCTCGGACTGCTGCTCTATAATGCAGTTCCTCGTGCTGTGGTAACCCTCAGCCATAAAATTGCTTTTGTTGCTGCCTCATAACTGTAATTTTGCTGTTGTCAGAGATCATAATGTAGATATCTGATACGCAGGATATCTGACATGTGGCCCCTGTGAAAGGGTCGCTTCACCTCCTTAAAGGGACCAAGACACAGGTTGAGAACTGTTATCTCAAAAGAAAAAAGGGGACTGTGAAACAGCCCTGTGGGTAAAGGCGCTCGCCAGCCACCAAGCTGCTGACTCTACATTTAGTCCATACTTGGACGAGATAGGCTTTGCCACCAGGGTCTCTTAGCAGGCCACATGGTGCACATCTTTAATCCCAGCACTCGGGAGACAGAGACAGGAAGAAGTACAGAGGCCTGGTCTGCATAGTGAGTTCCAGGATAGCCAGGGCTGTGTAGAAAAACCCTATCTCAAAAATTAAAAAAAAAAGGAAGAAAAAAGGAGAAACACCAGGGTGAGGGTGGGGGAGGGGTGGCACACGCCTTTACTCACTGCGCTTGGGAGGCAGGGGCAGGCAGGTCTCTGGGTTCGAGGCTAGCCTGATGTACAGAGCAAGTTTCCAGGACACCCAAAGCTACACAGAGAAACCCTGTCTCAAAAAAACCAAAATAAATAATTTTTTAAAAAAAAATCTAAGGAGCCCAAACATCTGCTGGAGCTCTCTTTTTTCTAGAGCTGAGTCTCAGGACAGCTGATGGAGTCTGAGGAGCCATTTTGAGCAATAGAGAACCCTTGCCCCAGCACCAAACACTGGAAAGTTTTGGTATTTATCACGACACCGTTGTGGAGGAGGTGGCACAGCCGTGACTACACGGCCACACAGGGTGTCTGGAAGAGTTGTGCAACCAAAGAGCTGTGGCAAGGGAAGATCCCCAAACACCAGGTCGCATTTTGGTTTTGTCACCTTTAACAACCATGGCCCCATGAATAAGCCTGCCCTTCAGTAACACCATCCTGTGAATGCCCACAGCTGGGAACTAAGAAAAACCCTGTGGAAGCAAGGCATAGCCAGGGCTTCATCCACCCCAAGAAGTCGGAGAACCCAGAGTGTTTCTGGAAACTTCGGTGGTGGTCAGGGAGGTGGTTTTGGTGGCAATAGCAGTTTGAGGTATGGAGGAAACTTTGGCGGATGCGGTGGCTTCAGCGGTGGCAGTGGCGGATGGTAATGATCTTGTAGGCGGTGATCTTGACAGTCACCACAGCCCGCCTTTAAATGTTGGACCTGCGACCAAAGGAAGTGTTAGAGGCAGAGGCTCTGGCTCCTGTGGTGGTAAAAAGGTACTTAGCTAGACCACAAAACCAAGCTGATGAGGCTGGTTCTGGCAGCAGCAGTTGCCATCTGTGGTAGAAGGGTTCTAGTTACTGACAGGCGACAAAGCTCAGCAGGAGAGGAGAGCTGGAAGGTGACGAGGAAGCCACCGGTCACGACAGGTATGAACTCAGCAAAGCACAGTGGTGGGGACAGGGCCCGCGCACAGAGAAGACATGTTTTAGACACTTTTGTTGTTTCTGGGCAGTGTGTCTGTGACCAGTTGTGGAACAAGTTGGTTTAGGTTCTGTACTGTGGGAAGTAGAAAGCGTTCCAGCAATGCAGATTTTGTTTCGTTCCATTTCATAATCTTTATGTCTTTTGGGTTTTGTTTTGTTTTATTTTTATTTTTGTCTTTTTTTTTTTTTTTTTTTCCAGAGCTGAGGACTGAACCCAGGGCCTTGTGCTTGCTAGGCAAGCGCTCTACCACTGAGCTAAATCCCCAACCCCTTATTTTTATTTTTAGACTTCTGTTTTTTGCCAGCACACAAGTGCCCAGTGCTCACAGAGGTCAGGAAAGGATTCTGGATCCCCAAGAATTAGAGTTATGGATGGCTGTAAGCCACCATCTAGGTGCTGAGAACTGAACCATGTGGAAGAGCAGCTGGTGTTTTAACTGCCAGGCACACTTCCCAGCCCCCCCCCCCCCATGAAGGCTTTTAATGTACACTCTTCTCCAGCTGTGTTATTGATTTTGAAAAGAAATAGCCTGATCATGATGCTGAATAAATGTCTCTCTTTCTTTCTCTTTTTGTTTTTTGTTTTTGTTTTGTTTTGTTTTGTTTGTTTTTTGAGACAAGGTTTCTCTGCATAGCCTTGGCTGTCCTGGACTCACTTTGTAGATCAGGCTGGCCTGGAACTCACAGAAATCTGCCTGCCTCTGCTTCCCTAAATGCTGCTGGGATTACAGGTGTGTGCCACTGATTTTGGCGAATAAACAATGTGTCTTTAAAAAAAAAATAAAATTAATGGCCTGGAGAGATGGCTCAGCTGTTAAGAGCACTGTCTGTTCTTCCAGAGGTCCTGAGTTCAGTTCCCAGCAACCACGTGGTGCCTCATAGCCATCTATACTGGAATCTGATGCCCTCTTCTGACATGCAGGCATACATGCAGCTAGAATGCTCATATACATAAAATAAATAAATTAATCTTAAAAAATAAAATTAAATTAAGAGCTTGTGAGGTGACTTAGCAGGTAAAGGTGCCTATTGCAAAGGCTGACAGCCTGAACTTGAACCTCAGAACTCAACATGATGGAAGGAGAAAGCCAACTCCTTGAATGTTGTCCTCTGGCCTCTACACATAAGCTGTGACGTGTCCACATTCCTCCCCCACTGACTAAATGTCATTGAGGCTATTTTTCAATTATTTAAAGATTAAAAGAATGAAACACAACCAATACCCTAGATCTCCAAAATGCCCTAACAATGTATAATGTTACTAAAGGTTTTGGGGTATAGGTCTGGGCCCTGGCAGCCTGACAGTGGAGGCTCAGCCTCATCCTCAATATGCCAATTAAAAAGACAAGTAAGAGTGAAAAGCAGAGAAAGGGAACTTACTCATATGGTCACAGGGAAGAGAAACAACTTGGAGGCTTACTGAGCTCTTTGGGGATACCGATTGGAGTTAGGTTTAAACACAGGCAGGCGAGAGGTCATGGCATTGATGTGTCATTGGCTCAGCTCCTGGCCTGGCTCTGAGCTGTCAGAACCTTGTGACTTTCCTGCATGCCAAGTTCCTTCTTCTGCTGGCATCATGGCTCCAGCTTTTTTTTTTCTTTCTGCAGGGGGAATTCCAATTCCTCAGGGCACATTGTTTCAGTAGCCTGATAGTAAGAGGGAGTCAGATAATCAGTGGTCTCTTTAGATTACCTTCATCTCTGCCTGAGAGTTGTAATAACTGGTCGCTCTAATCTGATAATAGTTTTATTCCCTCCTGCTTATCTTGCAGTGAGGAGGCTAGAGGCTACCAAGAAGTGGACATCTTTTTTAATCTTATGCAATATCTAAAGGATTACCCGTCGCTGCCCTGCTGGACCCTGGTATTTAAAACACCCTGACAGAAGTCAGTGGTCATGGGAGATAAGGTTCTTTGTCCAGGTACCCCGATGACCTTGATGGAGAGCAAGGAAGGAAACCAGCTTTTTTCATCATGTACACAGGGCTAGGTGCTAAGCGGGATCCGGGAAGATGGAGACGCTATAATTAAGGGGCTCTCTGGTCTGCTGGTGTAGCCATCCCAGCATCTGAGAATGTATTTGATGGCTGCTTCACCATCCGACTCTCTTTCTTCCTAGCCACTAAATCCCAGAACAGCACTGCCCAAGTACATGGCATCCTGGCAGGGCTTCCTGTCTACTTCCCTATTCCTCAGCCTGATGGTTGTAAGAGCGGAATCAGCTGCCCCATCCAGAAAGACAAGACCTACAACTACCTGAACAAACTGCCAGTGAAGGCCGAATACCCCTCTGTAAGTAACATTGGCAAAACAAGAGGCCCTAGGGCTGGGTCAGACATCTGGAGCCTGGGAGGAAGAAGCAGGGACTGGGGCAAAGGGCCTCTCTTTTCTGGTGGATCAGAAAAAGCCTGAGGGAGAGGAGATAGGTGTGAGGGACCCAGGGGTGCCATAAGTCCAAAGCTTGTGCCATGTTATTAAAAATATTTTAGCCAAGTAACAAATAGTTAAAGGTCTGAGTTGTCTTGGCAGCATCTTTAGGTGGGTAGACGGCTCGTTCACAGTCTCAGCATGCAGAATGTCTGTCAGAGCCTGATTTACGGTAGGTACTTTGCACTTAGTCTGAAAAACAGCTTAAGTTGTTAGTTTAAACACCAAGTAAAACAGTATCGTATACAAGTCTTGAAAAGAAAGCGAAGTTTTTAAGAATGTGGATGTTACTGTCCCTCGAGCGTTACATTATGAAGACAGTTTGAATGAAAACCAGTGTTCGTTTTGATGGGCAAACCCAGACTTCCTTTTTTTTGCAGTTAGTGCTGAAGTGGTCATGTTAGAGAGGAATCATGATACAAATGGAGGAAGCAAAGCAATTGTTTTTTCCTATAAATAAAGAGCTACTTCACTAGATTCAGGGGGTGGGGGTCCTGGGGAGCTGGCTGGTGCTTAGGAGCACTCGCTGCTCTTCTAGAGGACCCAAGTTAGTGCTGTATATATGGTGTCTCACAACTCTCTAACTCCAGTTTTGGGGGATCCATCACCCTCTGCTCTCTTAGAGTATTGCATGCACACGGTGCTCTTAAATACCTGCCGACAAAACACTCTTATATTCCAGGTCCTGGTGACTCATTAAATCTTTAAAAAAAAAAAAAATTAAAAAGCTATTGGTGTACGTTTTTAATCCCAGTAGCACTCAGCATGCAGAGACAGGAGAGTCTCTGAGTTCAAGGCCAGCCAGGGCTACACAGTGAGACTGTCTAAAAAAACTATAAAATTAGAAGGGACAGTGGCTCACACTTCCAACATACAGAAGGCTTAAGCAGGAGGATTGCTATAGGTTGAAGGGCAGCCTGGACTATCTAATGAATTCCAGAGGTCCGGGCTAGCCTGGCGTGAAGAAGTGAGACTGTGTCTCAGGAAACAAACAACAGAGATCGTAGCTTAAATGCAGCAGGTCAAGGTCAAGATCTCAAGTGAGATACATGATCAGAAGTGAGCTCACGACCTGTACATGGTCATGCTGTAACCCTAGCCCTCACAAAGTCGGGGCAGGAGCATTCAAAACAGCCTGGGCTATATGGCCAGTCTGGGCTACAGTGTGAGAACCTGTTTTAGAAGAAATAAAACAAGACAGGAAGAGGAAAGAGGAATGATTGGGGCCAACCGTGCAGGTCGAGGAAGTTAAACTCTGTGGCTTCACAGGGTGGTTATTATTGAAATTATCCAGTTGCACTGCCTTAGACCCGCGGCTCTCAGCTTCCCTAATGCTGCGACCCTTTAATACAGTTCCTCAGGTTGTGGTGACCCCACAACCGTAAAGTTGTTTGCATTGCTACTTCATAACTGTAAATTTGCTTCTGTTATGAATCATAATGTAAATGCCTGTGTTTTCCGGTGGTCTTAGGCAACCCCTATGAAAGGGTCGTTTGACACACACACACACACACACACACACACACACACACACACACCCCGAGGGTCCACGACTGACAGGCTGAGAACTGCTGCTTTGGACCATCCTCGTGCTTCGGCATTTCATATCTAGCTGACAAGAAAGTTTCTTTGCACTGAGGAATCTTTAAGCGCTTTTACCCTCTGTTCTCAGAGTTCAAGTAGAAAAGGCCATAGCAGCTTGCCAAATAAATGAGAAGCTATTTAACTTTAAAATTAGTATTCTTGTAAGGCTCTGTTGACATGCCTCTGCTAGAAGCGGGAAACTCAGCCATGTACGCCTGTCATCTCAGCGCTCCGTAGGCAGAAAACAGGAGGGCCAGGAGGCCAGCCTGAGTTACAAAGCAAGTTCTAGGTCAGTTACAGCCATGTAACAAGAACTCTGTTTCAACAAAGGCAGGGAGGGAAGAGAAAAAGGAAAGAGACTCGAAGGACTTTTTAGAATCACATTTGGTAACCAGACGTGGTGGTCTACCTATAACCCCAGGATGCAGGCTGCTGAAGTAGGGGGAAGGCCGCACTGCATAGTCAGTTCAGGGTTAGTCTGGGTTAGCTCTCACTTCAGTATCTTTTAAAAAGAAAACAGAAGGGAGGGGCTAGAGTTGGCTCAGCAGTTAAGAGCCCTAGCTGCTCTTGCAGAGGACCTGGGTTCCATTCCCAGCACCAAGAGGCAGCTCACAACCATCTGTAACTCCAGTACCAGGGAATCCGATGCCCTCTTTTGCCCTCTGTGGGAAGCAGAGACACAGTAGTGCACACGCATATACATTCACGCAAATGTACCTATACATAAAATAAAATGTTTAAAAATTGAAGCAGGAAAGAAGAAGGGGGAAGAAGTCTTACACGTTGATAAACTGGACTAAGTTGGATGACACGATTGGATAACGTGGCTCACTCTTCTGAGCCTAAGGGTACAGGCAGTGGCCATATCCTAATCAGGCTTCATGATGATAGGACTTAAAAAGAAAGAATGAGGATTTAAGGTGCACACTTAAGCCAATTATGGATAAAAAAAAAATCAAGTCTTGGTTTAATTTTTCCCCAATTCCTTTCCTTTTTCCAGATAAAGCTGGTGGTGGAATGGAAACTTGAAGATGACAAAAAGCAAAACCTGTTCTGCTGGCGGATCCCAGTAGAGATCAAAGCCTAAGCCCTTCAGTGCCCTGTGTCTCTGTGGGGTGAGAGGTGGTGGATGGAGGGAGAGATCAGACTTGAAACCAAATCGGTGCCATAAGATGAACAGAATTTCAAGACTGCTGTTTTATGCCTCGACCTCCATAAAAGTATCTGCGACCCTACTACTCCTGAGAGTTCAGAGCCATTGCCCCTTTGTTGAGGCTGCAGAGGAAGAGAGACTGGAGGGAAGAGGGGACTGGAGAGATTAGTCTCCTGTTTGCTGTTGGATTAAGGTCTCCAGGCCCTGCCTGATGGGATGGGGACGAGGTTGCTTGACCCAGGGCCTGCGATCCGTGAAGGGTGGCTTCCAGGAGACGTCCCGCTAGCTGGGGTATTGTCTCTTAAGTGCCTCCTGAGTCCCGTGCACCTGGCTAATCGGTCTACTGAGTCTCGATGGTACCCTCAGCCCTAACGCTTCAACAATAATGACTAACTCTCCACTGTACCCAGAGACTGGAGGAGGGGTGTTCTGCCACAGAAATTTAGCTCTGAGCAGCTGCTTCTTTATGGTTAAGCTCTTGTTTCTTGTTCTTTAGTGGTTTTCATTAAAGACAATTCTTGGTTGCAGGTGCTTGGTCTTGTTTTTTGTTGTTGTTGTTGTTGTTATCAGTATTAACTTGTATCATCTGAGGTTGAGCCTCTTGGTAAATACTAACTTGCCATTTTTGCATTTGTGTTCAAGCTGTGATCACCTGCTCCTTCCAGACAGCAGTCTCTTAGGTCCATAGCCTGCCGGCCACTGGTTCCGAAGCTGCAGAGAAGACAGGGCTCTCAGAAACTGCCCTTCTCCTTTTATTTTTCACCAGCTAGACCTTAACCACAGAGAGCGACCTTGTTCTGCTTTGCTCCACACAGCCTTATACTGTCAAGCATGCTTGAAGCAGCAAACACTACCTGCTGGAGAGCAATACTTGAGGAGAGGGGAAGGGACATGGTGACTGGGGCATCCCGTGCCCTGGTGGGGAAGCCTAGAAATGGAAACAGAAAAGGAGAGGTGGCAGCTGTCACGAGGTGGGAGCGGTCTTAGTTTCAAGCTGGTCTGAGCTGCCTAATGAGATCCTGTTTAAACAGACAGAAGCAGATACGTAGGTAGGTAGATAGATACATAGAGAGAGATAGACTTATCTCACAAGAGGCAGGAGGGTCATGAATTCCACACCAGCCTGAGCTATATACTTAACATCTGACATTCCACCCCTACCCCACCTCCCAAAAAAAAAAAAAAAAAATAGCTAGGCTTGGAGGCTTAAACCCATAATCTCAGCACTGGAAGGCAGAGGCAGGAAGATCGCTGCATGTTTTGAGAACAATCCTATCTACATAATGGGTTCAAGGTCAGCCTGGGCTAAATGAAACCAAGTCTAACAGAGAGAGAAAGTGACAGTAATGGCCATGGGTCAAAGTTTGCTGTATGGAATCTATGTACATTTTTGAGATAAGGTCTAGGGTATCTCGGGCTGGCCTTGAACTTGCCAGAGAACCTTGAGTTTCTGATCCTCCCACTTCTAGCCCAGTGCTGGGACTGCAGGTGTGTGCCCTGTACATAGACTCCCAATGGCACCAGAGCCTCGCATTTCTTCCCCTGTGAGTTTCCCAGGCAAACCACCAGGGGACAGCAGCGGGCCAGTAATGAAGTTATTAAGGACAAGCGATTCACACTGTACAGCCTAACCGGGGCCTTTTGTGTGTCTTTTCACACTGAGCCCACCCTGTCTTCCCATGTAGACACTATGAGTCAGAATCGTGTGAACCCCAAAAGTAGCTACCTGCTGAGGTCATTGCTTCCAACTGCCTGTGGCTGAATGTTGCCTCTGTCATTTATTCAGCTATGAATGTGGCTACGAATGGTTTCATCTCTCTGTGCTTCAGTTTGAGTTTCCTAATTCATTGACCAGGGACAATGATAGTGCGGCCTGAGGTGAAATGAGGCATGTAGTATGTACTCTTGTCAATGCGAGCCTTTGTGCCGGGCTGCTCTTTTTGTCTAGAAATAGGAAAATCAGGAGGCGCAGTCTAATGTGTGTTAATGTGTCTCCTCCGAAAACTAAAGCTATCTTCCTTGTACGGGAGCTTGAGGAGGGGCCGGGAGAAACTCGCTTCTGTGTCTGCTGACCTCCTATTCCCAAAAGAGTCTTCTCGCCTTCCACTTCCATAGCAGCTACTAGCTCCCAACCCCAAATTTCCTCCTCTTCTGCCCTCATGAGAAAAAAAAATTAGGGAGGAAAAAAACTCCACTAATGTACATCCTTGTGTCCTAATCAGAGCAGGAGGCAGCCAAGCTGCTGAGGTCTGTTTGCCTACCCGCCACTGGAGCTCAGTAGAGCCTGCAGTTATGAGATAGGTAGGACTCCCGTGGGAGGATTAGTCTGAAAGGTCATCTCTACAGAAAGTTCACCGTCATTAACAGAGAAGCAGCGAATCCTAGGTATACAGAGGGTCCTGCCCTTTCCATTGCTAGTCTCCAACTTCCCGAACAAGCCTGCAGCCTTGGACCCAGCTCTCTTCTTACATGACTCCAAGGCAGGTAAATCTCGAGACTCCAGTTTTAGAGTCTGCTCTTTGTACTAATAAACACCAGCAAGGGTAGAATCATTTTGTTATGCCTAAATTATGAGACTCCCAAGAGACCACCAGGAACACGAGTCCGCTGCTCTTTAGATTTCAAATCCTGTGTGCTTGAAAGTGCGTGTGTAAGTGTGAGAAGCTGAACTTTGACCCCCAGACCCCACTAGAAAGCTAGATGTGGCTTAGTGGTTAAGAGCACTGGCTGCCCTTCCCGAGAACTGGGGTTCCATTTCCAGCACCCACATGGTGGCTCACAGCTCTCTGTGACTTCAGTTCCAAGGGACCTGACACTGTCTTCAGGCACTGCACACACACTGACTTCTATGCAGACAAAACACCTATACACCTAAAACAAATAAAGCTGGGGGGAACAAAAACTTCTTTGGAAAAAAAAAAAAAAACTAGATGTAATCCCAGCATGCTGCACCGGCTAGCCTGCCGTATACAGTGACAAGTGAGATCCTGTCTTAAACTTGGGCTGACATCCAAGGCTGTCATCGCCATACAAGGCAAATGACAAGCTGCCGTCCTCACCAGATCCACACTCATGAGCAATAATCTGAGCACGGCAGCACATGCCTGTAGTCCTAGCATTAGGCAGTAAGAGGTTGGAGGAAAAGAAGTTTAAGGTCATTCTTGGCTACATAGTGAGTTCAAGGCCAGCCTAGACTATGTCAGGTCTTGTCTCAGGAGGGAAAGAAGGAGAAAATATGATCATATTCACAGAGATTGAGAAAACAGAGTGATAATACCCCAGGCAGAGGAAAGCACTTGAGGTGGTGAGGTTATCTAAGGGAAGATGACCTTGGATGATCTTTACAGGATCCAAGAACGGTGCTTCCAGAATTAGTTTGGGGACAAAGTTGGGGTACCTAGGAACAACAGTGCATAGAGTCAGCAGGGCGAGTGTCCTCTGAAATATGTGCTTCCCACAGTGGCTTTCTGAAGGGGAAATGGGATCAGGAATGGAGATAAGCGTGTGCCAGGCTGAAAGGCCTGGGATGCTCAGTTGTGTGTGTTGGAAATGTGGATTCAAGGTAGAAAGAGGCTATGGGTCCCCCAGATGTTGACTAAAAGTCTTGAGAGGAGTTGAGTCGATTGGGGTTGTTGTATCTTTTCCTCGCAGAGGATCCCTGGGCCTTACCCTCAGCTTGTAAACTAAATCCGATTCTCTTACAGCTGACAGTTGACGAGCGACTAGATGGTCTGAGTGTTGGTTGCCATGGAAACAGCGAAAAGGCCCATTGCCATAGGAACCTACCATGTTCTCCAGACCAGGGGTTTGGTTTCTGAAAAGACACGGAGGAGCTGAGGAGCCGAGTTGCGTGAGGGTCCCACCAGAAAATGAGTGACATGTGTGAGAGAGCCTGGCCAGCTCCTTCAGTATCCCCCTACTGGTTCGCTCATTGCCCTCAGTGGTCACAGAGCACCGGTGCCTGTCCCTGCGGACAGTAAGGGCATAGATTCTGGAGAAGCCTTGGCATGCCAGGACTACCACCACCCTCTCTAGGGGCTCTCAGGGGGGAAATCTTGCTCTCTCTGGCAGGCCCTGCCACACAAACCATATGCCCCAGAAAAGCAGGCCACGGAGGATCAGCTTTACTCCAACTGCCAGCGGGTCTGGCCACGGAGGAACTTGGCAGGCAAAGCGGATGGCTGCTGGCCTTGAACTCAACTCAGCAGAGAAACGGGGTGTACCAGGTCAGAAAGCAGAAGGGGCGGGCCAGCAGCAGCAATCTGTTGTCAGCGTGAAAGAATCATAGCACACATCCCTCTGCTCCCCACATGACCCTCGTGCCTCTGCCAGGTGGATCAAAGTAGAAGAGCCAGGACTTGAGAGGGGGATCCTCAATGTATCTGAGCAATGGTCGCAAGGTTTCTGGTGTCTCACAGTCAAGTGAAGGGACTCTTAAGTCACTGTTCAGTGGCCGGGGAAAACAAGGAGGAAGCTTCCGGGTGGCCGTGTCATTAACCACCATTGCCATAAATGGGGAAACCGCAGTGTCCAGCTCGGTCATCTCCTGGTCTCTGTGAGCACAGCTTGTTTATGGTTCCCTGGGATCTGATGGTGACATTTGAGCATGATGGACAGAATGACATGTACCTGTGAGGACCGAGAAAAACCTCAGGAATCCAGAGAGGCTTAGGACTGAGACTAAGGCCAAGAAGACATTTGAGAAGACGGCCTCCCAGATGTTTAGCTCAGGGAACTTTCATCTCATTTTCCGGGACTCTTGAGGTGTGCAGAGTTGAGTCTTTCTCCCACTTTGGCCTTCTGAGGGAGTTGGTTGGTCTCAATCCCTCTCCTTCCCCCAGGAGCTCTATAGCCTAGAAGCCTGGTACCAGAGAGACAGAGGGAAAGGGCCTCACTTTGGAGATGTAGTAGCTACTTACAGATTGAATTTTAGTTGGGTTTGTGGCTCCCTCCTCTGACTCCTTCTAGTTCACAGACTTTGGATTCCTCATAGGGAGCCTTAAGTCTGTAACAGAGTGAGAAGCCCCACCTCCTTCCTCAGGAGTTCTGATGACACTAGCATCCTTATCGTCCTCAGCGAGGAAGGAAGGGTGCAGCCATGGAAGCTCTTGGAGGCCTGGAGTCACAGATAATGTGCTGTGCACTGTCTCCTAGATTTAACCCCAGGGACCTTTCAAGCCCCGTGGCCTCCCAGGTGCCCGTTCCGCTTTGTCTCCATTAAACCAGATTCTAATCCTCCCGTGGCACTTAACCACATTCTCTTTTGAGGCATGACGATTGTGTGTTATCCTACCCTCCTACTGGATAATAAATAGTTTGAGAACAGGGACGGCCCTTCAGTCTGAATAAATGCCTAGAACTTAGTGCTCGGCATTTTTTTTTCCTATTTATTTTCTGAGACTCTATCATATAGCTCCGATGGTCTTTGTACTCTGTGTAATTGAAGTCGACCTAGAGCTTGTCCTGTCTCCACCTCCCAGATTCTGGGATTACAGGTGTGCACCACCATGCCTGGCACTCAACCATC